AGAAATAAGAAACACTCCAATATAGCTGAATTGTGGCAAGATTTGCAAACTCAATGGCAAAATTTACCTCAAGATCGCATTTCTAATTTAATAGCATCAATGCCTCGCCGTTGTGTTGCAGTGATTGCTTCTAAAGGCATAGCAACAAAGTATTAAGTTTAAAAAAACGTTGACAACATTTTCTGTTATTATTTTTCAATAATATATTTTTCTTATGAATAAGAAAACTTTTTGGCGCAATACTTTTGCACTGTTTGTAATAAGACATTGTGTAAAAATAAAGTATTTAGAATTATGAAGAATTTGTAAAGTTTATATAATTGTAGGACAAATAAATACATTTTGTTTATATACATGTGTGAAGTTTTCAGCGCTCATTATGAAATGAATATATAATAATAATTGTATGGCTCAAAAGTTTTGCTCACCACTGTAAGACAACGAATATGGCATCGGCAAAAAGGCGCTCCACGCCATTACAAACAAGACGTACGTGCGTACTTAGATCAGATATTTCCTAATAAATGAATAGATCGTGAGGAACCGATGTTTCGGCCGTCTCTGGATTTATCATTCATTTGCAATCAACATTGCAAATCGTCCGTGCGGCAAAACGCACTCGACGCTGCATAGCGTACTCGACGCTGCAAAAGCGTCCGCACTACCAAAGAAAACACAATCGACGTTGCAAAACGTCCGCGCTACAAAGCGCGCTCGACACTGCAAAGCGTCCGCACTGCGTAAAACATAATCGACGCTGCAAAGCGTCCGCACTGCAAAGCGCACTCGACGCTGCAAAGTATCCACGCTGCAAAGTGCACGCAAACGCTTCTCATGTGGGACGACCTCTGTCCCCACGATACACCTGCGAGAACGTCCCTATGTCGAACTCTCAGGATGCAGACATCGCCCAGAACTATCAAGGCGCCACCAAAGTTGGGACGTCCAAAAACCGCCGATTTCAATAGAGGAGCCCACACCTACTAGGTATATAAATATGAAACCAGAATTTTTGTATAGAAAATACACGTTTATTGTATGAAAATGATAAAATATATTTTATTCGAAGTATTGCCCATCGCTAGCTATACATTTTTCCCACCTGTCTGACAATTTATGGATGCCACGCCAAAAAAGCTGTTGCTCTTTTGAGGCAAACCAGTTATCGAGCCATTTTCGTACATTTTCATAAGAAGTGAAGCGCTGCTCAGCAAGTGCGTGTTCCATCGATGCAAATAAGTAGTAATCGGACGGAGCCAAGTCTGGTGAGTAAGCCGCATGCGAAAGTATGCCCCAACTAAACGCCTCAATCATTTCCTTGACCAATTTTGCTGTGTGTGATGGTGCATTATCATGAAGCAAAATTACTTTGTGTTGCCTTTTTTGATATTCTGGTCGTTTTTCACGCAAAGCTTGATTCAAATCGATCATTTGTTGTCGGTAGCGTTCAGTATGAACGGTTTCGCTAGATTTTAACAACTCATAATAGATCACACCCTTCTGATCCCACCAAACACAGAGCATTGTCTTCTGTCCATAGCGATTTGGCCTTGCAGTCGATGTCGGTGGTTCGCCTGGAGTTACCCATGATCTTTTACGCTTAGGATTCTCAAAATATATCCACTTTTCATCGCCAGTCACAATTCGATGGAGAAATGACTTTCTTTTGTACCTGGCGAGCAGCATTTCGCAAGTGGTTTTTCGGTTTTCCTGCTGTCTTTCATTCAGTTCATGTGGAACCCATTTTCCCACCTTCTAGATCTTTCCCATGGCTTTCAAACGTATGGAAACGGCTTCTCGTGTCACATTTAATTGATCCGCGAGTTGTTGTTGTGTTTGAGCGTCATCCTCATCCAACAATGCTTGCAATTCGCTGTCTTCGAATTTTTTCGGTGGTCTTCCACTCTTCTTCGTTTTCTTCGTTTCTCACGTAAAAATCGCCACGTTTGAATTTTTTACACCACTCAAAGCACTGTGATTTACCAAGAGCATGCTCACCGTAAGCTTCGACAAGCATTCGATGCGATTTTGCAGCAGTTTTCTTCAAATGGTAACAGAAAATCAATGCTGCCCGCAAATCGTAGCTTCCAGGCACAAATTCGATATGTTCAACACTATTACAAACGCTATGCTATTGTATGAAACTTGTATTGTTGTGAGTTGAAAATCTTTGTCAGATGTCAACAAATGGAAATGGCGCCAATGATGCGGTTTGACAGTAACTATATTGACAGCTAAGGCCATCTATGGGCAAATTCCGGTTTCATATTTACGGATCTGGTATTACTTGTTCCGGTCGATGGCGCATGGCTTGGCTGGGCAACACTTGGCCAATTTCGAAGAAGTGCAAAAGTGATTGGATGAATGGTTTCGGTCCAAAGACACGTCGTTTTATCGTCGGGGTATTCATGTATTGTCAGAGAGATGGCAAAAATGTATAGCGAGGGACGATACTTTGAATGAACCATTTTTTGTATTTTTCTTGAAATTTTCCATTTTTCATTGATCAAGAAAACCCGGAAACTTGGTTGCGTACCTAGTAGTTGCTTTATATTCCCCTTGAAATCATAAAACTTTTTTGTCCGAAACATTTTTGCTGAAAATGCTTCGTTGAACCATCGAAGTGCGTTTTTTAAAATGGGGCATGTATATATTGTACATATTAACAATATTATACATATAGATACATATAAAAAGTACTGGCACGGCGAAATATCACAAAAACTAAGCATTTCAGAAAAAATGTTTCAAATAAAAATTATAGGGTTTTGAAAGATCTATTTAATGACATTATGAGTTTGACCTTGAGTGGCGCCGCCAAGGTCAGAACAAGATTACCTTGAATTTTCTAAGTGGGACCTTTATATTTTTGTCCATATTCTTGTAGCCTTTTTCAGACCTTTTCAAAGTACTATAACTTTTTCCACTTTGAGTAAGCTGTTTCAAAGTTACCGAGCTTTTTATGATAAGATATTCAGTCAGCGGCTGGAGCAATTTCGTGACTTGTATTTCAGAAACATGTAATATTAAAGTATACGAATACTAACATACTAAATTTATAACAGTATTAAAATTCACCTTCGCATCATTTCAATCAGTTCTGTGAGACTATGATAGCGAAAATAGATGCAGAACCTGACTTTTTATCTAACGTAGTCTTCTCAGATGAAGCAACGTTTCAATTAAACGGTATTGTTAATAGACATAATTGCAGATTATGGTCAAATACGAACCCTCACTGGATGTGGAGTACACAGTATGCAATATCCACAGAAATTGAACGTTTGGGCAGGAATATTAAATAACAGATTAATAGGACCATTCTTTATTGAAGGCAACTTGATAGCTTATTCATATTGTTGCGGCCGCGCCTTTGTGGGGCAACGTAGTGCTCACGCTGCTCGAACCGAGATCGGCTCATTTGGAATAAGTGAACAGAGAATCCCTGACAACGAAAATAACAACAGCTGACAGAGAGTCTCCGGCAAGCTGTCATCGTAGACAGACGCGAGAATTGTCGATTAGAGTGATATTTCTGTAAAAGGTCAAGAGAGCTACGCTGTAAAAATTAAAGTTTCTTATTCTTACGCGAGTGTTCTCTTTTTCCCGAGTGCGTGGCGCGAGTGTATGAGTGAGCGCAATATGAAGACATGCTGAGAAATCAAACCGTCCCTGCAATCAACGCGATCGTTGGTGAAAACTTTCAACAGATGTGGTTTCAACAGGATGGTGTACCATCACATTATGGACGAAACATTCCTATTTATTTAGACACAATTTTTCTTGAACAGTGGATAGGAAAGAAAGGCACAATCGAATGGCCAGTTCGGTCACCGGATTTGAAACCTCTTGACCACTTTCTCTGGGATTATCTAAAAGATCAAGTATATGAAACTAAACCTCGGAATCTAAATGATCTACGAGATTCTTGATGAAACGGCACTTATACATAATGAATACATAGAAGATATTGTTTCAGATTTTTATCATTAATAAGCGCATTGTCAAACAATGAATAGTGAACAATTTAAGTATTTGATACATTAATCGCGCTTCCAATTGCTAGTTTTCCTTTATGATCATCTTTCCTTGGCTGGCTGGATATCTTATCATAAAAGGCTCGATAACTTCGAAATGGCTTACTCAAAGTGGAAAAAATTATAGTGCTTTGAAAAGGTCTGAAGAAGGGCTACAAGAATATGCATTAAAAAATAGAGGGTCCTATTTAAAAAATTCAAGGTGACCTTGCCCTGACTTTGGCGACGCCACTCAAGGTCAAACTCATAATATCAGTAAATAGATCTTTCGAAACGCTACAATTTTTATTTGAAACATTTTTCTAAAATGTTTAGTTTTTGTGATATTTCACCGTCCCGGTACTTTTTATACACCTTGTGTATATCATTGATTGAATAAAGATTTTTGTTTGCCTAATCACTGTGTGACTTTTACTCACAAACTCCGCACGAACTTTTGCACTCACCCAATATATGTACACATTTACCCAAATTGAAAAGAAATGATTTGTTAATAACATTTTTCACATTGCAAATATGTCTGCGACTTTGTACAATGCTCCTCATACCTACTATCTAGTTTTCAAGCAATATAACTTTGTAATAACAGTGATTAAGATAGAATACTTATAATAGTTTGCCATCATAGATCAGAATAATGGTACTATAAAATACGTTTGCAAATAATAATAATTATTATCCAACGAATATTTTTTATCGTCTTTTTAGTTTAAAAATATAATTATAATTTATTAAATATAATTATAATTTATTAAATTATATTATAATTTAAATGTAATGAACAATATGAAAACCATATTTAAACAACAATTATTGTTAATAATGGACAAAAAGAAACAATTTCAAAGCAATAATTACAAATAGACAGTATATAGACAGTAATAGACAGTAAGAATCAAATTTATATCTTATTTTTCATTATATTATAATTAATAATAATAATAATAACTATTCAGTACTTACATTTCCTTTTGCTTTTGGAGTTAGTCGAAACATCGATAATTTATCCTTCTGGTTAGGTAATGGATTGCATTCTTTTTTAAAGAAAAAATCAGACACTGCTTGAATAATACTCTTTCTTCTTTCTGGGTCCTTCAGTTTCTTTTTTTCTCTTTTTGCTACATTATTATTATCCAATGTCAAAGAACTTGTAATGTTTAATAACTCATCCATAGATTTTGCATTAACCGATGGTGATCTTTCAAGACTGTTTTGTTCTGCAATATATTTCATATTGTCTGTACTCTTGCTGATTTGTAACTTCAATCCCGAGTTATCCATCATACTGAAACTATATGGTCTAATTTTTCCAATCTCTGAAATATTATGTTTTCTTGTATCTTCTACTGAAACCTGTCGTCGTATAGTCTTTATTTTAATTTCCCTAATTTTGTCCTCAGATTTAAATTTTAAATCTTCACCATTTTTTATTCTCGCATAGCCTTTGGCATCATGTTTACATTTTTCTGCAAATTTTTTTGTTTGTTCAGTCCTCAATTTTACTGGTACAATTGGAGCCTGAGGCATATTATCTACACCAATAATTTCTGACTTTATTACATCCTTTGTCTTTGATTGATTTGGCTGATTAATATTTATTAGAATCTCTTCTTTGGCTTCAACTTGATCATATTGTTCACAAAATCGAGAGGATATTGAAGAAGTCAATGATTTATTTGATTCATCAAAAGTAATATCAATTGGATTACATAAAGAAGATGTGATAGAAATAGGAACAAATTTCTTATTAGTGGAAAAGGTATGAGATGATGGAGATTTTATCAGTGAGGGTATTGTGGTGAAGGACAAGGTCCTAGCAGCTCTTCGAGCTCTTTTCTCAGCTGATTTCTGTTTGTGAGCTTCGAGTTTATCCATCAACAAATCTTGGATAAGATTTTTCTGCTTTGACCTCTCTCTAGTGATCTCTTCGAGTTTCCTCGAAATTGTTGGTGAATTTATATTACCATTTTCAGCTGTTATTTCTTGAGACTTGATTTCTTCAACAATCATGTCTGTAATACATGCCTGTGTCGCATTTTTTGAGTTCTTTCGTTTTGATTTTCTTATATCAATAGAATCTTTCGCATTGCTAAATTCTGCAATTCTAGACTGCAATTTTTTTACGTATTCCATATAATCTGAATTACTACAGTCTGCTTTAATTAATTGTTCCTTTTTTTCTATTTTTTCTCCAGAATCTATAGAGATTTCGGGATTAATTGGACTGGCAAGTACAGTAACAGCCTCACTGGTGGTTGTATCTTCGGCTAATTCAACTAATAATAAACTATCTTCCTCCATTGATTGAAGTAATTTCTTGTTAAATGCTTCTACTAGTTGTTTCTGTTTTAAATCGTCTTGATGAAACATATCTTTGAATTCTCTTCTAGTTTCTGTTTGAATTTCTAATTGCATTGGTGATGATTTTTTCATAAGACAATTTAGCTTACCCATTACATCTTCCATAGTAATGGGATCTATCTCAATTACATTTGCGTCTTTGAAACCTTCTTCTCTTTCGTCATACAAGTCATTTTCCAGTTCCAATTTTGCTATCGGAGCATTAACTTGTTTACTGGATATATTTGTCAAAGTGGGAATGTTCGTGGTTTTAATGTTTACAAACTCAATATAACCACGATTTCTTTGCATCGCAACATTGGAAGCATCTTGAAGGCTGTCATCTAATAGCGATTCATTATCTGTGTCCATATAATCAATATTCTCATCGTTAGTCAACAATTTTGATGTGTTATTACTAGGATACTCCCAATCAATTTTCGAGTTGATCTTAGAACAATTAGGCTTCATATCTTTCTCTTTAGTGATTTTAATAGATGCAGAAGGTAACTTCAAAAAAGAAGATAAATTATTTTTTCGTATAGTAATAAAATTAGGATCAACGTTAAGTTCTACATCGCAGAGGTCATCAGAAACTAAAACTTCTCCATCGCGAGCCCATTCAGAAAATCCTGTTTCAGTCAAAGCGGCGGTGGTAACATCGTTTTCTTCAGAATTATCCTGTTTATAAGACGTTGAAAGTTCAGAAGCAGGACTACTACAATTGCTTATTCTAGTATCATCTTGCAAATCTAACTTTTTCATATTGTTATCCACCGTTTCAATATGTAAATTATTTTGTGGTGAATCGAGTAATCTGCGATCTTGTAGGAAAGAAACTTCAATAGAATCTGGTTCAAAAGTCTGACCATCATCAGGATCGTAAACTTTGAATTGGTCAGATCCATCGTCTAATAAAAGGTCACCATCAATGCTGTGAATCTGCAATCTAGGCGGTGAAAAATTTACAGGTACATGTTGACAGTTCTCAATCATCTCGTTAGAATCAAAAGAAGATAATGAATCGCTATCTATCTCGGAATCACCCGAACTAATGTTTTTACTCTCGTTACTTTTGCTCCAGTTCACTTCAGGAACGATAATAGATGTTTCATGAAGTGGACTACGTGATCTAAAATCATTATTATCTTCCGAAATATCCCCCACGTTTTGTAAATTCTGTTTTTGTTCTGTACTATACTCCACCGAGTTACTGATTTGGTAATGTAGCACTTGATTCCTTATTAATACTTTATTTTTCATCGATTCACCGCAAATGTTAGGTGCTGTCTTTGATTTCAAGATATTAGATTCTTTCACTAAATCAGGTAAATGCTGCGCCTTGGACGTTTCGATTACAGCTGTTGACTTATATGCGACATCATATGATGGACTTCGATAACGATTACTGGGCAACTGTGGCGAAGATAAAATTGTAGGCGACAACGGAGAAAGTGATGCATTTTTGGATCCCAGTTTGCTGGTACCTTAAAAGAAAAAATAAATTTTATATGTATATATATATTAAATCTTATACATATATATCTTATATATTAGGTTGGGGAAAAAGAAATCCATTATTTTTCCGCTAGATGGCTTTAGTGGTATATATCACGTGATGCATTAATCGTATAGGTTAATATTTATACTCGCTGGAAAAGCAACATTCCGTACTAAAAAAATTCTTTAACGGTTTTGTGATTTGTCGATTAAGTGGTGAGTTATAGCACATGAAAGATGTACGTCAACAAAGAGAAAATTTAGTATATTTTACAATTTTGCTTCGATAAAGGCGAAAATGCAAGCCAGGCGGCTGAAATTGTGAATGGTGTTTATGGTCCCGATACTGTCACAGCCAATCACGCGCAATTTTGGTTTCGTCGATTCCGTTCCGGTAATTTTGATGTTAAAGATGCATCTCGCACAGGTAGGCCCGTCGTCGAAAATGTCAATAAGATTATGGAAATGATCGAAGTGGTCCAGTATGATAGCAGTCGTAGTATCGCCCAGGAGCTGAAGATCGACCACAAAACAGTTTTAAACGATTTGCATAAAGCTGAATTCAAAAAAAAGCTCGATGTTTGGGTGCCACACGAACTGACGCAAAAAAACATGATGGACCGAATTTCAATCTGCGAAGCCTTAACCAAACGGAACGAAATCGAGCCATTTCTGAAATGGATGGTGATTGGGGATGAGAAATGGATTACATACGACAATATTGTGCGAAAACGATCGTGGTCAAAGCGCAGCGAAACGGCTCAAACGGTGGCCAAACCAGGATTAACGGCCAAGAAGGTTTTGCTGAGTGTTTTGTGAGACTATAAAGGACTATAAAGGACTATAAAAGAATCATCCACTATGAGCTGCTTTCATATGGCCAAACACTAAATTCGGACCTCTATTGTCAACAATTGGACCGTTTGAAGCTAGCGATCGACCAAAAGCGGCCAGAATTGGTCAATAGGAGAGGAATTGTTTTTCATCAGGACAATGCCAGGCCACATACGTCTATAGTGACTCGTTAGAAACTCCGGGAGCTTAGTTGGGAAGTTTCGATGCATCCACCTTATTAGTCCGGACCTGGCACCAAGCGATTATCATCTGTTTTTGTCATTGCAAAACTTCCTTGATGGTAAGAAATTGACCTTAAGAGAAGACTGTGAAAATCGCTTAGTCGAGTTTTTTGCAAATAAGGACCAAGGCTTCCATGAAAGAGGGATCATGAAATTACCTTTAAAATGGCGACAAATTGTAGAACAAAACGATGCTCATTTGACCAAAATCAAACAATCCTAACTACGTTAAATAAAGCCTTGAAATAAACGAAAAAATAATGGATTTCCTTTTCCCCAATATAACCTAATATATATATATAGGGTGTCTCATTTAAAAAAACGCACCACGATAATTATTCAACGAAGCATTTTCAGCAAAAATTCGGACAAAACTTGATTTCAAGGGAGACATAAAACAACTATACTATTTTGTTTACAAATGGCATCACTTTCGAGATATTCACTAATCATTATTTTTCTTAAGTGGAAACCCGAATTTTCTATTATATCATCTTTTTCTAAGAATTAATTTTAACAACTTTTGCCTGAAACATTTGTTTATTTGCCTAATATTTTTTGAGATATTTAAAGGAAACTTGATAACTTTCTCAATATTTAACTCACGATATCTCTAATTACATGTTGGAAAAAAAAGTGATACCAAACCTTTTTGCTCTACTTGGTCTTAAGAATATATTGTTACAATAGTGTCCTGACTTTTGTTAATTTGATAATTTTGAAAGGTCAGTAAGTTAACAAAAGTCAGGGCGCTATTATAACAATATATTCTTGAAATTAAATAAAGCAGAAAAGTTTTGTACCACTTTTTATTTCGACAAATAGTTAACGAGATATTGCAAGTTAGATATTAAAAAAGTTAACAAGTTTTCTTTAACCCATTAACAGGCAAATCAGCAAAATTACAACCTCTCTGTTTGACGCTCATTACTTCTAAGATTAAAAGAGATTAATTGTCGAGAAGTACCTACTCTCCCATTTTCGAGCTCACTCTTCCGAATAGTGACACTTAGAAATACTAAAAATCAATATTTATTAAGTAAATCGGAAAGTTCCGTTCGTTTAGCGACGAGTAGCTATAGCTAGAACTGTCGTTAACCTGTCTAAACGAAGCTTAATAGTTTGTTTTGACATCTGTCAATAACATTCAGTACATAACAGTATACGTTTGCATCAATAACATTGTTTTTCATTGCATCGAAAATGTCGAAATTTGAGCCAAATAAACGTCATTTGCGCGAAGTGTTAATCTTTTGCTTCAATTGGAAAAAAACTGCAGCTAAAGCTCATCGAATGCTTGTAGAAGTTTATGGTGATAATGTTCCTTCCTATAAAATATGCAAAGAATGGTTTCGACGCTTTAAAATTGTTGATTTTGATGTAGAGGACAAAGAGCGTTCTGGACGACCAAGAATATTCGAAGACGAAGAATTGCAGGTATTGGTGGACGAAGACTCATGTCAAACGTAAAAGCAACTTGCAGAAACATTAAATTGTGCTTATTCTGTCATTTCCGTTCGTTTGAGAGCCTTAGGAAAGATTCACAAGGAAGGAAAATGGGTCTCATATGAACTGCAGCCAAGAGACGTTGAAAGGCAAGAAACCACCTGCCAAATTCTGCTCGCTAGGCAATAAAGAAAGGGGTTTTCACATCGTATCATCACTGGGGATGAAAAATGAATTTATTTTGACAATTCCAAACGTCGAAAAACTATTTGCGATCCCGGCCAACTCTCAACATTGACGCCAAAGCGGAATATCCACGGAAAGAAGGCAATGCTCTGTATTTGGTGGGATCAGAAGGATGTGCTGTACCATGAGCTGTTGAAAAGTGGTCAAACAGTCACAGGGGATCTCTACAGAGAACAAATGATCCGTTTGAGCCTTGCACGAAAAACGACGAGAATATGAAACGAGACAGCATGAAGTGATTTTGCTTTATGACAATGCTCGGCCTCACGTCACAAAATCTGTCAAGGAAACGTTAGAAGCACTTCGTTGGGAAGTGTTACCGCATGCAGCTTATTCACCAGACTGTGCCCCTTCCGACTATCACTTGTTTCGGTCGATGGCACATGCACTTGCTGACGAATGCTTCAGTTCTTATGAAGACGTCGAAAAATGGGTCTCTGACTGGATAGCCTCCAAAGATGAGTCATTCTTTCGCGGAATTTGCTTGCTGACCGAAAGATGGGAAAAAGTCATCGTTAACGATGGACATTACTCTGATTGATGTACTTTTTCATTTTGTTTCTTAAATAAAGCCATACGTTTTGCAAGAAAACGGACGGAACTTTCCGATTGACCTAATACAGTCTGTAAAAGTAAGAGCGTGCACGGCATAAATGGTAGTTGGCTTCAAATATCGTCCTAGTTTTTTTGTGAGCCGATAGATGAAATCTTTATCGTGAATGCTTTGTCACAAAAGATTCAGTTGGCGTCGCACTCTAACCTGAGAAACACGTTAACCGCCATGAGTGCCGCATACGCATCGCGCTACGAGGCTGTGTTCCTTTGTTCCCACCCCAAAAGACCAAAAAATGTCCAATGCAGTGGCTGTTAAATACATGGAAAAGTTAAAATCGTTCATCGCCAAGTGGGTTCAGCAATATAAGAAGATCAAAAATGTCGATGACTTGCCAGAACGTGGCTCGATAGACAAAGTGACGCCGAATATGGAAAAAAATTGTGAATTTGTTTAAGCGGAACCCGACCTTAATGCTTAAAATTTATGAGAAGTGTTTGTTGCCGACTGCTGAACGATGCTTTATAAAAAAAAAACGACTGGATCTTACAGGAAGACAACGACCCAAAACATCGGAGCAAGCTTTGCACTGAGTGGAAAGAGCAGTCTGGCATTGTCACACTTGATTGGCCATCGCAGTCGTCAGATGCAAATCCAATTGAAAATGTGTGGGCAAATCTCAAGCACAAGCTTCGAGAAAAAAAAGTGTGCACTTTGAAGCAGCTGACACGATAAATTCGTCTCATTTGGAGGTCCTTACCGAACGAATACGCAGTCAACTTAGTGGAAAGTATGCCTCGGAAATGCCAGGTAATTATCAATATCGGTGATGACTGGACTCATTATTAATGGTATAGCATTTTCCTTCTCATGGAGTACAACAAATCCATGTACTTAAAAATCATTAAAAATAAATTTTTCTACACATTAACCTGTGCACGCTCTTACTTTACAGACTGTATATGGGTTTTTAACAAAAATATGTAAGAAATCACGATTTTTTAAAGGTCTTATTTATTTGGATTTTAATTTTGACAGTGAAGGAAGGTTCCAATTATTCTGGAAAATACTTAAAAAGTGCATGCGAGACTTGTACTTTGAAAATATGTAGTTTTCATATCATTATTAAACATGACGGAACTAAGATGGCGACCAATATAAAGCAATTTTTGTTATCTCTGCTAATTTGTGATGTATTCGCGTTCCGTTATATTTTTTTAACTATTAGGAGTACAAATAAGTTTCCGCCGTTTGACAAAAGATGGCTCCACCAGAAGGTTATGTTGAAATTGTCAGATGTAAAACGTAATATCGTAAGATTGGACATCTGGTAACAACATAACCTTGAAATATTAGTGACTCCGTATCAGCATCACATAATTTCTTTTGTGCGAAAATGTCAAGTTTTGTGCCGAATAAGCGTCATTTGCGGAAACTTTTGATCTACTTCTTTAATTTGAAGAAATCTGCAGCTGAGGCGCATCGATTGCTTGTAGAAGCATATGGTGAGACTGCTTTAATTGAGAGAAGTTGTCATGAGTGGTTTCAAAAGTTTAAAATCGGTGAGTTTGACGTGGGAGACAAAGAACGTAGTGGAAGGCCGAAAGTGTATGAAGACACGGAATTGGAAGCGTTATTGGAGGAAGATTCGTGCCAAACGCAAGAA